AGAGACTGGTAGGCATAGAGTATAATAAAAGTGGAGAAGAGATAAAAGATAAGGCTGGGTGTACACGCTGTGGTTCATAGGACCATAAGTCATAAGTTACGTCACATAACTACTTCTTGGGAAGTGAGGGACTAGCAGGTGGACAAAGCAAATCAGCAGGGTTATTTGTCTCTGGAAATGCTATTTGTCACACGTGGGAAAGGAGCTGGAAGGCAAGCATGGCAGGCTTGAAGACCAGTTCAGGGGGCACTGATCATCAAAATGAATGAGGTCCTATCATATGCACTCTAGTTCTCCCGATTCTTGACGTATTATTTCCAACCCCCCAACACACACACACAAATAAACCCTTACATACATTTAAATGTGATCTCTTTCAACAAAATGGTTACTATTTACATAGAGGGTTAGTTTCATTACAAGTTGCAATTATCTACTAGGAAATAAGACTATCAGCTCAAGGCCACCCTCCTGGCCTGGGGCTGGGGTCCAACATCTCCCCCCTTTTTTTATATATAAATTAGCACCTATCTCAGGTGTCAAAATTGACAACTAGAATGAAAATTGAGTTGGCAGAGGCTCATACTTCTGGAGAGCATTTTCTGTAAGCTGACCATAGTCCTCAAGAGAAGGCCCTGGGACAGATGACAAAGAACATTAGTACTAGCTAGAGAGCCTGAGCTTCTCCCCACATGACTACTGTCACAGAGACAGCACACGGTGACATGAGTGCCAAAGACCACCCTGGAGTCACTAGGGAAGTTCTGAAGGTACATAAACCACCATCTTTGTAATGTCACTAGAGTTACCACTCAGTGGTGTGGTTTTCCCCTCAAACCCTGATCTTGAAATGGTACTGTCAACAGATGATAATGTGGTTTCTTGAGAACAGAGCTGGCAGCAATAAATTTAAAACACAGGGTGTATTACATCTGTGTGGTAAGCTGTCTTTGAGGGGCTGCAGTCTGAGCCAGCTGACTAGCTCACTGTTCATACCTGAGGGGGGTGTGAATTGAGAAACACTAGTGAATACGTTCAGAGAAAGATGGAGACACAGCATAGTATCAGGAGGACAAATCCTGTCCATACAGAACTCACCGAATTTATTCTTCAACATTCTTAAGTACCCAACCAAAAGTAGGGATAATGGCAGAAGACTTCTATTGTCATGTATAAGGGGCAAACAGACTTACTTCCCTTAATCCTCCAAGTATTTGATACCTACACCTGCCATCAGGGCCTTCAGGTTCAAGAATAAACACACCTGAGCCCAAGTCTATTGTTATTTAAATAAAGACATCCACTACCAAGGCCAAAACATCCTGCAGCAGCCAAGCTATAGACTTATAGGTCTAAGGCTAGTTTTGAACTCTCTGATCTTGAGGCAAGATGAAATGGACCCCTTTTTATGGCCCTGACACATCTGCAAGAAAAAAAATGAACAAATAGGTCTAAGCTCGAACCGGCAAATTATAGTAACTAGGGGAAAACACAGCTCATGGTGGTATCAAGGAAACTTCTCACTGAAGAGTGAGCTTAGAGCTTTTCTGGACAAAACTCTGTAGCCAAAAAGTGAGGACAGGCTTTGAACTCATCAGGGTTTCAGTTTGGAGAGGAGTAAGAGGACAGGCCCAAGGACAGTAAGGAAAGACATCCTCCCCTGAACTCAAGAGAAGAGGAAGTAAGCCTTCGTCCTCCGTCCTCCAGAAACAAATGGCAAGGATGGGCCCTGGAAGGAGGGGAATCCATTACTAATTACAGATGACAATTGTTTTATCTTAAACAAAGACCACAAATGGAAATAAGGTGATGGTGACAGGCTGCAAGACAGTAAAGAGATTCACTGAGATCCAGTGTAAACAATACAAGTTCCTGGTAAGCAATGACTCTTCTTTAATTCTGGGCTTTTCTATAAATGAAATAAGTATACATGGTTCCCTTTCATAACCACACCCCCTCACATGTTAAATGCTGGTGGTATTTAAAACACAGGTTTCTGACTTGTGCTACTGAATTAAAGGCAGTGTCATCTACCAACCTAAATAGCACAGATGTGAAATTATGGGAAACTCGAGTTTGGTTTCAGACACTTTGCATTTGAGATGCCCATACAAGACCAGGTGGGCAAGAATTCACTATGAACAGCCAGTGGAAGGGCAGCAGCACCAGGGTGGGTAGGTCTCCTGGAAGCCAGAACACCTACACTCTTGAAGCCACATATAGGTTCTTTCTACTGAATGACAAGCCGGGATTCCAGGGTTTCCTCATTGGTCAAACAAATACACTAATGAAGGGTTTGCATTCTTGAAAGGCCCTAGTTTTATTACATCATGTACATTGTGATTTTACTCTCCCCCATCTTGGTTGGGGTTGTTATTGCTGTGATGAAACACCATGACCAAAATAACTTGGAGGAAGAAATGGTTTGTTGAGTTTATGCCTCCACATCGCAGTTCATCATCAAAGGAAGTCAGGACAGGAACTCAAGCAGAGCAAGAACTTGGAGGCAGAAGCTGATGCAGAGACCATGAAGAAGCGTTGCTTACTGGCTTGCTCTTCATGGCTTGCTCTGCCTGCTTTCTTATAGAGCCCAGAACCACCAGCCCAGGCTGGCACCACCCATAATGGCCTGGGCCTTCCCACATCAGTCACTAAGGAAGAAAATTCCCTACATGCTTGCCTGCAGCTGGATTTTATGGGGGTGTTTTCTCAATTGTGGTTCCCTTCTCTCTGATGACTCTAGCGTGTTTCAAGTTGACATAAAAACTAATAAGTACAGCGCCCGTCCCATCCCTGTGCAGAATTTTCAAGATAACTGTGGGGGCGGGGGATCCAAAAAGACAAATTTGGTCCACTGTGATATGGAATGAAAGGGGTCACCTTGCTCCAATGAATATGCCACCTGTCTAATAAATATTCATTTAAAATATCCTTAAATTGACAGCATAGAACCTGAGGGGGTACTCCTGAGTCAGCCTACTGCAATCTCTCTCTGGAATACACTGATCACCTTGACTTGATTTGCTGAAAGAATTTCTGCTTGAACTACTTCCCTTCTAGAACATATGAACAGAGAAGAATCCTTCACCTGGAAACACATGGAACATCCCAAATAGACAGCTCTGGCAGTCTGATACGTAGGAGTTCAGAAAAATACACCAAGCTTGAAGTATAAATTGGGAAAACATTTGCGTTTGGATTAGGGAAGTCAGAATTATGCAAATGAATACAAAGCTCAACTTGAAAAAAAATTAAAGGTCAGTATTGAAAACCAAAGTTCAAGGATAGTCAAAGAAAGGTAGTTACAGAAATGAATGCATCAGAGGTAAGAAAAAAAAGAAAAGAAAAAAGACTTGAAATTTTTCATTTAATCACTGTAGACATTTTAAGAAAAGCAATGGACGCTGGGTTAAATAGTCTTTGTGGGAGGCAGAGACAGGAGGACGATCTTAAGTGCAAGGCCATCCTGGTCTATGTAGTGAGTTGCATTCCAGCCATGGGTATATAGTGAGATCTTGTCTCAAAATAAGATGGTGCAGACAAACATATACATATACACAATGTGCAATCAACAGTGTGCTAGGAAGTGGACTGGAATGATTGAGGACGAATAAAGCTGAGACCTTACGATGGGAAATAGAAACTTCTCTTTCGAGAGGCTTCTAGCAATGGGAAGGAAAGAAACACTCAACTAAAAGGAGGCTTTGTGGCAAGGGTGTTTGTTGTGGGTTTGCCTTCTGAGATAGGAAAAATGTAAACATATTCAGATCCTAGCGGAGGGAAAAGAAAGGAGAGGGGACATTTGATGTCTCTGAAGATGAGCTGAAACAGGATACAGAGCTTCCATGTGTGGAAGGAATGAAGGACAGGAGGGAGAGGGGAGGGAGGGAGGGAAGGAGAGGGGAGGGAGGGGGGGGAGGGTTGTTCCACGTAGGGTGAGTTGTGCCATTCTTACCTCAAATATCTGGCATTGTGGGGAGGAAAGATCTACACATAGATAATTATACAACTTTTTCGATGCATATCTAGATATCAGCTCCAGGTACTACAGAGCACCTACTAAAGAAGATACTTGGGTTAGTCATAGGAGACTCAGGGGGAGACTTCCTGACTACTTTACAAACTAGGATGTAAAGCAGTGTGACTAGCAGGCGGAAAGTAAAGTAGAAAGAGAAAAATATTGCAGAGAGTACACATCACAAGAATCCAGAGAGAGCATGTTTGCCACTGGAAACTGTCCCTGTGTATTTGGCGTCAGGCCAGTGTCAATGCAGGTCAGTGAAAGAATTCATTCTTTAGATCTTTGTAAGAAGGGCAATTTAGTTAGCACATGGTCAAGAGAGAAGCCACGGGGCAATGACAGAAGAATGGCCAACATCTGGATAGAGCCTGAGAGTCTTCTGTTTGCGTGAGTCTACCATGGGATAGCATGAGCCACTCTGCTGTGCCATTTCCCAGCATGCAACTCCTGCCATGTAAAACGGATTGCTTCTGATTCTTTGGCGCTTGGTTCTTTATGGTTAGGATAAAAAAAAATGTGTATTCAATTAGTTATTCAACTCCAGACACACAAATGAGAGCAACTCTGTGACTCAGAGCAGTAGCTGATTTTGTTTAGCGGCACCATTGTGCTGTTCATTGTTGATGTTGTAGAGTCACTTTCTAGACCAAGTTTACGTTGAAAGACACATTTCCTTTCTTGCCTCTAAATGATGGTGTCCCTCACAGAGAGGTGACCCAATGGTGCACAGTACACTCAGATTAGCTACTAAAAGCTCTCACTGCCTTGGCTATTATTCTCATTCATTCTACGTCTCTGCCTTCACAGACCCAAATCCCCTGAGGAGGAAACCCAAGGCAGTGAGAAGGTTACACATTAACCGTGAAGCGAAAGTTATCACGGCACTCCAAATAACATTATCTAAGCAGAAATCGTGCACTTATTTTGCAAAGAGTTTCAGTTTTGCCTCTCTTTCCTCTACGCTGGCTATCAGTCACGTATATAATATACACATCTTGTTGAACTGTGTCTTCTCCTATTAGCAATTCACCAACAATGAAATAAGGCCAAGGGAAAGTTGGAAAACATTTTCAAAACAGTAAATTATTTAGGTCAAAATGGACCGTAAACAGTCTCGAAGGAAATTCCCATGAGGACGCTGCTTCTAAAAGCACCTAGAAGTTAAACATGCCACCTCCCGGGGAAAATGCCTGGCACCTCGATCAGTATGAGTCCTTCTCCAATCAGAGTCCTTCAGCTGTTTTCAATTCTTTCTGACTCCTGTTCCCACTGCAAGTAAGTATGGAAGATGGGGTTGAAAGGGAGAAGGTGGACCCGTTCTGCACAGGGCACCTGCTCCTAGGCATGCGGTACGTACTGCTGCTGTTATTATGTGCATTTGGATTCTTACAAAAGAAGATGGGTAACCCCTCCCCCCCCCATTCTACAGAGAGACATTGAGCCTCCCTTTCCTCTATGCCAATGAGCCACAAGAAAGTTGTCTTGGGCCACAATGCTTGGTTCGGGAGGGATCTGAGCACAGATTCTTTGCTCATGCCTTTTCAAATATGTCATCAACAGGCTTTGGTGTCTGTTATCCGGGTCTTTTGTTACCGGGGCCAGTGCTCGCTCGTGCAGCTTGCCCAGTTTCTGCTTTCCCGGCTGTCGCCTGCCTTTCCCTCCCTACAGCACTCTGTGTGGGTGGCTGCCTGCCCAGTCAGATTTAGGATTGAGTCCTCATATTACTTTGCCCTTGGGTGTCTGCAAACTGCTGATTCCTGACGGCCCACCTGGGTACACTTCCTCTTTGGTTTGTGGCCAGCTCGAAGCAGCTTACCTGGATTCAATATTTTTATTTTTATTCCATTTTGTCCCTTCCCTCCCCAAAAAAATCTATCTACCAAATACCACCCAGGTAGGAACTCTGACTCTTTCAAGTCTCCAAAAGCCAGTATGCCTTGCACCCCGGCCACCAGTCAGAGGCCTGTCAATCATTCTTAGACCCTCCAAAAAGAGACACCTTTAGAGCATGCTCTGTTTCTCCCTCCTCTACCATGGAGCATTTTAAAACAAATTCCAAATTAAATCACAAGGATCCCCATGATGAAGTATTAATGCTTTCTGTTTCTATTAAAATTTCAGGATCCTTAGCCGGGCAGTGGTGGCGCACACCTTTAATCCCAGCACTCGGGAGGCAGAGGCAGGCGGATCTCTGTGAGTTCGAGGCCAGGCTGGACCGACAGCCTCCAAAACAATACAGAGAACCCCTGTCTCGTAAAAAACAAAAAAAGAAAAAGAAAAAAAGAAAAAAAAGAAAATTTCAGGATCCAACTAAGTCTAATCATTTCTTGCAAGTTGAATAGACACAAGCTCAGGAGTGAATTTAGGTCAGCAAATACAGACAAAAAAAAATCACATGTCTGAGCCTCCTGAAAGGCCATTTACCTTGCCTTTTCTCTCCCAGCTCGAACATATTAAAACTGACAGATAGGATGGAGGAAGGGGGAAACAGAGAGAGAAAGAGAATCAGAGACAGAGAAAGATTTCATGTTACATGGCATTCTTTTCAACTCCAGGACACAATCCATTTAAGCTCTCTTTCATCTAGAGCTGTTCATACTAGAGATTATCATATGAAACAAATCACCTCCACATCCCTGAACCGTCTTTACTACAGGAGGGGTGCATTCTTGAAGTGGGCGCTTAATTTGAAAAACTGCTATGGACAGTTCGAGCATGGTATTTTTTTTTTCCGTAATGTGGATAACCTGCTAACTAATCATAACGTGTTTCCTGGTTCGAGATAAGATGTGAATGATCAAGTCTCCTGTTTCAGGTTACAAAGGAATTGCTGTAGAGAACCGAGTTCCATTGCCTATTGGGAGGGAGAGAAAGAGAGGAAGATGGAGAGGATAAAAGAATTCACAGTGAAAGATAAAAAAAAGAAATCTGGAGAAGAGAGGGAGTTCATCTTCAGGTTTTTGTGTGGAGGGTGGGTTTGTTAGTTTTATTTTCTAGGCAGAGCTTTTCTATGTAGCCCTGGCTGTTCTAGACCTTTCTATGAAGATCAGGGTGGACTCAAACTCACAGAGATGCACCTACATTGCTGAGATCACAGGCATGAGACACTGTGTCTGGCTTGTCTTCAGTCCTGATAACACTCCTTTTGAGGGGTGTTTTGTTTTGTTTGTTTGTTTTTGTTTTTCATGACAGGGTTTCTCTGTGTAGCTTTGGAGCCTGTTCTGGAACTCACTCTGTAGACCAGACTGGCCTCAAACTCACAGAGATCTACCTGCCTCTGTAAGCCTCTGTGAGGGTAACACTATCTTTAAAATGATAAGAAAAGAAAAATTAGTCTGTCTTTGAATTTAGTTCTCAATCTAAGAGCAGCTGTTGCGAGCTGGTGAAGGATACATTTCTCAGAGATCTCCCAGCCTGTCTCTCTCTCCTCTCTCTCTCTCTCTCTCTCTCTCTCTCTCTCTCTCTCTCTCTCTCTCTCTCTCTCTCTCTCTCTCTCTCTCTCTCTCTCTCTCTGTGTGAGGGTTTGGGCCAGGAGAGAGCAACCTCGGTGAGCTCTTCAATAAGAAAAAAATGTGGCAGTTCTCACACAAAAATATAAACAAATAAAAATTGGCAGTCTTGAAAGCAGAATATTGGTCGTTGATGGCACATGCCTTTAATCAAAGTACTGGGGAGGCAGAGGCAGGTGGATCTCTGAGTTCAAGACCAGTCAGAGCTGTTACACAGAGAGACCCTGTCTTCTGGAAGGAAAAAAACAAAGCAGAGAATTCTCAAGTCATGTTTACAGATTTTACAATGGCTGTAAACTCAACTGTTACAAAGTCCAGAAGGTTAACAATAACACTTAAGTTTATTGAACACATATAGGCAGGCACCACTCTAAATAATTTCATAGAAGTATCCAACTCTCACAACAGTCTTAGAAGATCATCATTCTTTACATTCTTAACTCTGCTTTGTGAAAGAACATCAAGGCACCTGAAGTCATGGGAATTTATCAGGGACACACATTTAGCAAGCAGGAAGGGGCAAATTTTACAGCCAGGCATTGTGGATGGGTTGGGGGTGAGCCTATATTTCCTTTTGCAAGTGGATATAAACAAGGAAATGGACTGTTTGGGGCCCGGAGTCAACACAAACACACAGTCTGGAGGCAAGCAGGCAATCATTTCAAATGTGCATCTACTCCCAGGAATATGAACCTATTATCCCAGGATTTTCAAGCTTTTCTTGAAGGGAGAAGCTGAACTATAACCATTTTACTTATTTTATATCTATGGATGTTTTGTCTGCATACATGTGAGTATACCACAGGAATGCCTAATGCCCAACGAGACCAGAAGAGGATCTAGAACCCCTGGAACTGGAGTTGTAGATGGTTGTGAAACACCACGTGGGTGCCGGGAGTGGAACCCAGGTCCTCTGGAAGAGCAACCAGTGTGCTTAACCACTGAGGCATCATTTCAGCCTCCTCTTATCGTTTTTAAGCACTGGCAGCTTATTTTAATAATTAAACCTTGCATTGGAATATAGTGCCATTGGCAGAATGTTTTCACAAAGTCCTGAGTTCTGTCCTAAATGCTAAATAAACTGTGTGTGGTACTACATACCCGTTACCCTAGCACCCAGGAGAGGGTGGCTGGAAGATCAGAAGTTCAAGATTATCCTTTGCTACATAGGAAACTTGAAGCCAGCCTGAAATACATGAGATCCTGTATCAAAGAGGGAAAAAGAAGAATTTAAATGTTACCTGGAAAATCTGTCTCTCAAAGGAACTAGAGGCTGCTAATATACGTTAGGGAAAAGGTTAAACATTCAGAAGTTTAAAGGTGGAGTGCTCATCTAACATATGTGACAGCCTGGATTCAGCTCTTAGAAATGAAATAAGACTAGGAATGAAAACGATAATAAGAGAATAATAAAAATGAGAGGAGGTGGAAGGAGGAAGCAAGCCAAGAAGGAGAAGAAACTTAGAATTTTATATTTTTAAGAAGAGAAAGAATGCTTAGTCAGATGACAATCCAATGAATATGCAGCAAGAAGAAATCATGGTAGAAACCACCAATGCAAAGAGGAGAGCATAGAAGGCCTTTTAGAAAAACAAAGGAAATAAATTCTGACCTACTCTCGTAGACATACACAAGTGGAGGGAGGCATCATTCTTCAACAAAGGAAAATATAATATGGAAAAGTAAAGCTGTAGCCATAAAACTCATGTCTCCCCAACAATGGGCATGTTGTGTCCAGTGAGACATTCAAAGCTAAGAAGCAAATCCACACTACACATGGTTACTTCATGAGAAGAAAGAGCAGAGAGTTGGGGGACTAATGCCAGTGATACAGCGAGGTTTGACCTGAGCACATACCTCCCTTGATTAAGTAAGTACCTAAAGATATGTTCATTTCTCTCCCAGGCAGGTAGAGGCAGGAAAAGTAAGTGGTTCTAGAATTCCTTATTTCAAAGGATCTTAAATATCAATATAATTTTCATTCATATTACTAGTTATTTTATATTTAGTTTGTCTGATTTTTGAGACAGGGTTTTGCAGTGAGCCCTTGCTAGCCTAGAACTTCCCTATTTAGGCTGATCTCAAACTTTTAGAGATTCACCTGTCTCTACTTCCTGAATCCTGGGATTAAAGGTATGCACAACCCACTCCTGGTCAGTTTTTTAACGATGTTTTTGGGTTTTTTTTTGTCTGTTTGCTTGCCTTTTCTGTTTGTTTTCTGAGATAGGTTTTCTCTGTGTAACCCTGGATGTCCTAGAATTTGATCTGTAGACCAGGCTGGCCTTGAACTCAGAGCTCTGTCTGCCTTTGTTTCCTGAATGCTGGGATTAAAAGTGTGCACCACTACTGCCTGACCTCAGCCAGTTTTTATTAATAGTAAGATTCAATATTTTTTATCTGTTTGTTAGACACTTTTGTTGTTTTATATCTCTTGCCTCTTTATCTACTTAAAATATCATTTTAACTACAGAGTTAGTAATTTTTGAAGTATTATCTTTTTTTCTTCATTTATTGAAGGCTTGGTTCCCAATGTAATGGCCAGCTTCTGAGAAGTGATTTGATCACGAGACCTGTGAGCTAATCAATAAATTGATAGCTTGGTGAGTTCTTAATTGGAGTGACTCACTTGGGGCTATGCCTTATAATGATGTGTACTGGATTTGGAAAATGTTTTCACTGCTTCCTGGTTGCCTGAAGTGAGCAGCTTCCCTCCACCACATCCATCTGATGTGATACTTTTACCCCATCACAGGCTGAAGAGCAAAGGAGCCAGACAACCACAGACTCATCTCTGAAACGATGAGCTGAATCTCTCAAGTAAGTCATACCTCCCCATTCCCTACCCCCCACCCCCCACGACAAAAACTAACACAAGTGACCCTATATGTGACCAAGCACACAGCCCACAAAAGGCCCTTTGGGAGGCAAGTCCCTATGTATGCCAAGGCAGTTTTATGGCTTTTACTTGACAGCATGACTTTGGAAAAAGATCTTATCAACAAAGATATTTGGCTTTAGACGTTTTATAACAGTACAAGATTTAAAACAGCCTAAAAATCACAGTCATACAAAATGCTCTGAATTTGTTAAAATAAGACGAGATAATGTTTGCAATATCTCCCAATAGAGAATGGAAGAGATTGTGCTAGTCAGGGTTACCACTGCTGTGAGGTAACACTATGGCTGGTCTTGGTTTATTTGGCTCACATGTCCACATCACAGTCCATCATCAAAAGATGTCAAGACAAGAGCTCAAGCAGGGTAGGAACCAGGAGGTAGAAGCCGATGCAGGGAGGGGTGCGACCTACTGGCTTGCTTCCCCTGACTTTTTCAGCCTCCTTTTTGTTTTCTTTAAGTTAGAAACAATCTTGTTTCATATGTCAATCCCAGCTCCCCTCTCCCTCCCCACCAGGAACCCCAGTCCCCCACCCAATCTCTACCCTGATCCCCAGGGAGGGTGAGGCCCTCCTTGGGGGGATCTCCAGAGTCTGTCATTTCATCCAGGGCAGCGCCTAGACCCTCCCCAAGAGTCCAGGCTGAGAGAGCCTCCCATATTGTGGCATGGGCACTCAAAGTCTATTTGTACACCAGGGATAAATACTACCCAAGACCCCATAGATTACCTAGGCCTCCTCACTGACACCATATTCAGGGGGTCTGGGTCAGTCCCATGCTTTCCACACAGCCGTCAATCTGGAGTCCAAGAGCTCCCGCTTGTTCAGATCAACTGTTTCTATGGATTAAACCAGCCCGGTCTTAACTCCTTTGCCCATCAGTTCTCTCTTTCTGACAGTGTATTCCATGAGTTCAGTTCAGTGTTTGTCTGTGGGTATCTGCCTCTGCTTTCATCAGTTGCGGATGAAGGTTCTGTTTCCTAGACTCTCTGGCAGTGGGATTGTATGCTGGCACTCCCCTGATTCATAGCTAAAATCCATAAATGAGTGAGTACATACCATGTTTCTTTTTTTGTGACTGGGTTACCTCACTCAGGATGGTTTCTGCTAGTGTCATCCATTTGCCTGCAAATTTTAAGATTACATTGGTTTTTTTTTTCCTCTGAACAGTACTCCATTGTGTAGATGTACCACATTTTCTCTATCCACTCTTGGGTTGAAGGGCATCTAGGTTGCTTCCAGGTTCTGGCTATTACAAATAATGCTGCTGTGAACACAGTGGAACAGACATCCTTGTATGAGTGGGTATCTTTTGGATAATGCCTAAGAGTGGAATTGCTGGGTCTTGTGGTAGACTGATTCCCATTTTCCTGAGAAATCTCCATACTGATTTCCAAAGTGGCTGTATAAATTGGCATGCCCACCAGCAGTGTAGGATTGTTCCCCTTTCTCCAGATCTTCTCCAGCATAAACTGTCATTGGTGTTTTTGATTTTAGCCATTCTGACAGAAGTAACATGGTATCTCAGAGTTGTTTTGATTTGAATTTCCCTGATAGCTAGGGATGTTGAGCACTTTCTAAAGTGTCTCTCAGCCATTTTAGTCTCCTCTACTGAGAATTCTCTATTTAGTTCTGTACCCCATTTTTTTATTGGATCCTTTGGTATTTTGGAGACTTGTTTCTTGAGTTCTTTGTAAATTTTGGGGATCAGCCTTCTGTCATATGTGGGGTTAGTGAATATCTTTTCCTATACTGTGGACTGCCCTTTTGTCTTACAGAAGCTTTTCAGCTTCATGAGGTCCCATTTTTTAATTGTCCATCTTAGTGTCTGTGCTACTGGAGTTATGTTCAGGAAGCAGTCTCCTGTACCAATTTGTTCAAGGGTGGTTCCCACTTTCTCTTCTAACAGGTTCAGAACTGGTATAAGCCGTTCTTTGAATTTCTGGTACAATTCTGCACTGAGGCCATCTGACCCTTGGCTTTTTTTGGTTGGGAGACTTTTGATAACTGCTTCTATTTCCTTAGGGGTTATAGGCCTATTTAAATTGCTTATCTGTTCTTGATTTGATTTTGGCAAGTGATATCTATCCAAAAAATTGTCCATTTCCTTTAGATTTTCAAATTATGTGGAGTACAGGTTTTCAAAGTATGACCTGATGATTCTCTGGATTTCCTTGGTGTCCATTGTTGCGTCCCCCTTTTAGTTTCTGATTTTGTTAATTTGCATGTTCACACTCTGTATTTTGGTATGTTTGGATTAAGGCTTGTCTATCTTGTTGATTTTCTCAAAGAACCAACTCTTCGTTACATTGATTTTTTTGTATTGTTTCCTAGTCTCTGCTGTATTGATTTCAGCCCCCAATTTGATTATTTCCTGGCTTCTATTCCTCTTGGGTGAATTTGCTTCTTTTTGTTCTAGAGCTTTCAGTTGTGCTGTTAATTCTCTAGTGTAACTATTCTCCAATTTTTTCATGTGGGCATTTAGTGCTGTGAACTTCCTTCATAGCACTGCTTTGAAAGTTAGATATTAGGATTGCTATCCCTGCTTGTTTCTTAGGTCCATTTGATTGGAAAATCTTTTCCCAACCCTTAACTCTGAGGTAATGTCTGTCTTTGAGGCTGAGGTGTGTTTCTTGTATGCAGAAGAAGGATGGGTTCTTCGAATCCATTCTGTTAGCCTGTGTCTCTTTATGGGTGAGTTAATACCATTAATATTGAGGGATATTAATGACCATTGATTGCTCATTCTTGTTTGTCTTGGAATAGTTGGCATTGGTGGAATTATATGTGGATTTCCACCTCTTTTCTTTTGGCTATTGATAAGGTGGGATTATATATTGCCTATGTTTTATGGTTGTAGTTAACTCCCTTGGGTTGGAGTTTTCCTTCCATATCTTTCTGTAGGGCTGGGTTAGTGGATATGTGTTGTTTAAATCTGGTTTTGTCATGGAATATCTTGTTTTCTCCATCTACAGTGATTGAAAGCTTTGCTGGGTATTGCAGTCTGGGCTGGCATCTGTGGTCTCTTAGTGCTGATAGAATATCTTATCCAGGACCTTCTGGCTTTCAGAGTTTCCATGGAGAAGTCAGGTGTGATTCTGATAGGTTTGCCTTTGTATGTTACTTGGCCTTTTTCCTTTGCTGCTTTTAATATTCTTTCTTTATTCTGTATGTTCGGGTTTTAACTATTATGTGGCGAGGGGATTTCCTTTTGTGATCCACTCTATTTGGTGTTCTGTAGGCTTCTTGTACTTTCATTGGCATGTCTTTCTTTAAGTTGAGGAAGTTTTCTTCTTGATTTTTTTGTTGAATATGTTTTCTGCCCCTTTGAGGTGCATTTCTTCACCTTCTTCTATACCTGTTATTCTTAGGTTTGGCATTTTCACAGTGTCCCATATTTCCTGGATATTTTGTGTTAGGGATTTGTTGGACTTAAGATTTTCTTTGGTCGATGAATCCATTTCTCCTAGTGTATCTTCAACACCTGATGTTCTGTCTTCCATCTCTTGTATTCTGTTGGTTATGCTTGTATCTCTAGTACTGACCATTTGTCCAGCTTTTCTATTTCCAGCATTCCTGCAGACTATTTTTTATTGTCTCTACTTCAGCTTCAACCCTTGTACTTTTTGAATTGTGTCTTGTAATTTTTGCTTTGTCTTTTCCTCTTTTTCTTGCATTTGTTGAAGTTTTTGGTTTGTCTTTTCTTCCATTTCTTGCTCTTTTTTTTTTGCATTTTTAGGATGTTTTTTCCTCCATTTCTTGCAACTCTTGCATTTTTTGGATTGTTTTTCCTCCATTTCTTGTATTTTTGGTTTGTTTTTTCTTCCATATATTTAAGGGCTTTTCTCATATATTCTTTGATGGCTTCTATCATTTTCATGAAGTTGTTTTTAAGGTCTTTCTCATCTGCTTTTTCAGGTCTTGCGGGTGTAGTTTCTCTACTCTCTGGTGGTGTCATATTGGTTTTTCTGTTGGTGGGTGTGTTTTTGTATTGTCTCCTTCCCATCATTTCTTCCTGCTGGTACAGAAGGAGTCTCTTCCTTCCCTGGTGGGTATGTGCCCACAGTTCCTTTCCAGTGGGTGGGAGCAGGTCCAATACCCTGGTAGCTTTCCTCTTTCGAGGATGGAGGCCGTTCTAGTAGTGGGACCTTAGCAAACTCTGGGTAGGCTGGACCCTCACCATGCCTGTCCCGTGAGTGGAGAATGGAACTTGGAAGCTGGCAGTCTCTTGATGGGCTGAATCCCTTTGGGGCTGTGCGCAGTCCTCAGGTCTCCAGTGGTTGTGCTCAGGCCCTCAGAAACGTCAGTCCCAGGATGACCCCACCCACAATGGGGTGCCGCAACCCCCACCCTATCCACCACTAATTAAGAAAATGTTCTACAGGTTTGCCTGCAGCTCAATATGATGGAGGCATTTTCTCAATTGAGATTCCCTCCTCTCAGATGACTCTAACCTATGTCAAGCTGAAGCTAGCCAGCATAGTTTGTTGGCATCATGTGTTATGTTGTGGAATATTTGTTTATACATGGATGTGTTTCTGTCAAAGGCACCTTCTGATTGGTTTAGTAAAGAGTTAAATGCCCAATAGTTAGGTTAGTCAGGGCAAAATAGTTGGGACTTACTACCAGAGAGAGAAAAACTGGGAGGAGGACTCAACGCATGCGATTTTGCCAGCAGATTGGGAACACGTCAAATGTGCTGTACTAAGAAGTGATAGCCAATCCACATGGCAGAATGTAGATTTTAAAAAATTGATTAATTAAGAGATTAGAGCTAGGTGTGTGATGGGGAAATCTTTCTGTGTATATGTTTGTCCTATTGGTTGATAAATAAAGCACTGTTGGCCAATAGGGAAGATTGATAGGTGGGCCTTGGAGTCAAGGAGGATTCTGAGAAATGTAGTCAAGAGTGGAGAGTCACCATGTGATCCTGGGAGGAGAGGGCTTGTCACGATAGCATCCTCAGAAAGATAAGTCCTTATAAAAATATATATTAGTAATTATGGGTTAATAATTAAGTCAGAGCTAGCCATTAAGAAACCAAAGCAAACAGCCAACAGCTTCATAATTAATATAGCATCCTGTGTGTTCATTTGGGAGTGACGTGGCTCTGGGACTAGGCTGGCAGGAAGAATGCTCGTTACAGTTGGGCAAAAGTCTAAGCTAAGATTAAGCTTTCATAATTAATAGAAAGTCTACAGGTCATTACTTGTGTTCTGGCAGTCCAAAGATAGTCCAGCAAGAAAGCTAACTACAAGGTTGAAAAGATTTGTCAGCTATTGTGACCATAAATAACCATGGTTTACTCTTACGTTCTCCATATTTGCTCAGTTTGAATGAGATGTCACCCCACACACACAGCCTCTGGCATCTGAACAATTGGTTTCCAGTTGGTGACACTATTGGATAGGTTGAGGAGGCGTGGCATTGAAGGAGGGGCTATTTTCAGTGATCTTCCCAACTACCACCTCGCTAATCCTCCACCTCCCAGTCATAACGCCCCATCTCTCTGATTCCCATTTACAGTTGATGTTGACCTCTAAATTGCTGCTCCAACTTTATGCTGCCTGCTACGTCTACTCCACCATCATGGACTATTATCCCTCCTGGAATGATACCCAAATGGACCCTTTCTTCTACAAGTTGCCTTGGCCATGGTGTCTTTTCACAGCAATAGAAAAGTAATTAATACATTTGGATGAAGGCATGTCCTTTTATACGTGTTACCTAAGCTGCCCCTTCTTGTGTTTTGAGACAGGGTTTCTTTGTGTAACAGGCCTTGGATATCCCAGAACTCATTCTGTAGAGTGAGATGGTCTCAAACACACAGAAATCTGCCTGCCTCTGCTTCCCAAGTGCTGGGATTAAAGGTGTGTGCCACCATGCCTGTCCTTGCTGCCATGTTTTAGAAACGCATTTCTTTAGTTCTCAAAGGATTTGAGAATCAAGAACCATATATATATATATATGATTACCTGGAGTAAATATGGATGGTAAGAGGTAGGTGGGAGGCAAGTCAAAGAAGATGGGAGATGTATCAATTGGATGCCTATTTTCCTCTGAGAGAAGCACTGTCTACTATAAACATCAAGTTGTTTTATTAAAGCATGTGATGTAACTGAGTGAATCGAAATGTAAATCTGGGAAGTGACATACCCAGAAATCTGGGGTCAGCCTGAGCCTCTGGTGGAGACACTGATGCCTCCATAGGGCTCGACCCATGCATTTGGCTTCATAGATACTGAAGCTGCCTCTGTGACAGTGATCACTGAAGTCAGTCGTGTTGGATAAGTGCACAGCAGGGCACAAGTGGCCACCCAATCAGAATGAGCCTCAGGTTCATTCACTAAAGTCTGCACCAAACTGTCAAGTAGACACATATAACAAGTGAATCCAATGCAGCACATTCAACCACAAAGCTAATAGATAGTGAGTAAGTAGACTATTTAGCTCCATAACCAGGCAGCAGGCCATATCTCAAGGTGTGGCAATTTTCTAATTTTGAGAAGGATATTCTTGTACTAATAGCAAAAACAGACAAATATTCACTGCAGGAGGCATATCACGAGGATGTTATGGAGACACAGCACGGTATTGTAGAGGCCAGGCTTGTTTCCATGTGAACAAAGCCTGCGAACTTGGCCTTTCAGAGTTTTGACAGAACATACAATTCTCCTGTAACATGAGATGAAAAGTCTGTGTGAATAAGCTCTTCTGAAGCCATCTACCACTCGCCTCTCCATTGGCCCTCCTTAACTCTTCTGGTTTCTTGTGGAGTTGGGTGTCTTATCCCACCTGCTTCAGAAGAATGGTATAACACATCTTGGCTGTATCTAGGACTAGTTCCTCAACAGCAAGGCATTTGTTTTCTGCATCTCACTTTAGAGGGAATGTTTTCCTTCCCTGCTTTTCCTTTGGGTTTAATTTTAAACCTCCAATCATTTTATGCTTCATTTATTATTAAACTTTTTGCTGTACAACAGATTACATGTCTAATATACAAACCTGATGAGTTTGTAAGTAAATCTATACCTCCCAAAACATCACTGTGTTGTGTGCAAAAAAACCCAACACCTATGACTCACTTTTTTTCTCTCTTTATAAGCAATTTACTGTCTGAATTTAAATTTGGTTCAGTGGATCTCCCAGACATTGTGTCTCTACTAGCTACTTACAGCACTGCCAGGTAAATGTCTTGGTTCCCACCTTGTCTGGGTTCACATGTGGGTCTAACGAAACCCATTCAAACAACAAGAAATGTAGTAATCTATGAATGGAAAAGTAGACCAAGGAGCTCAAATGCATTTATGATGTAATTTCCTTCCATACTGTCTATCTCTGTGTTGACTTTGCTTTCTGGAATAGCTCATTCCATAAGATGTTCCTGGGAATATCCAGATGCAAGAATGTCTTGTGCTGGGAAGACAGATCGGCAGGTAAAGGTGCTTGCCACACAAGCCTGGTGGCCTGAGCTCAATCCCTGTAACCCATGTAGAAAGCTATATGAAGTGGTGCTCATTAGTAATCCCTGCTCTCTTAGGGCAAGAGATAGCATGAATAATCAAAGCCCAGAGACGGATATTTAGGTTAAAGCTGAAGACTAGAGAAACAAAGATGCCAAGCCACCAGAGAGCTCTTACCTCTTTCAAGGCTGGGGCAATCCTGTCCTCAATGTGGCTGGAGACTGATTGCAAGGTCTGAGACTGAATGCCAGGTCTGAGACCCTGCTCCTGTCATGTATACCTCTTCAGTGCTGGCATTAAAGGTGTAAACCACCATTGCCTGGCCTCTATGCCTATGACCAGCTTTGCATTCTAATCTCAGGCAATGTTTATTAGATCATAAACAATATATCACCATAGCAACAGGCAGAGACAAAAAGAATTGACCAGAAGCTCTTTAGCCATCCAGCCTGGAATAAGCAGTGCTGCAGCAAAAACAGCAAGAGAGACCGTGTCTGAAGAAGACAGAGTTTCAGAGTTTGAGGACTCAGAACCAAAATTGTCTTCTGACTTCCCCAAACAAGCTGTGACACACCACACACATCCTCTCTCCCCCTCTCTCTCTCTGTCTCTCTCTCTGTCTCTCTCTGTCTCTCTCTCTCTCTCTCCTCTCTCCCTCTTCTCTCTCTCTCTATGTCAAATAGAAAATATCAAGGTCTAGAGAGATGGCTCAGTGGTTAAGTTCTTCTTGCAGAAGACCTGGGTTTGGTTCCCAGCACCCATATGGCAGCTCACAAGCATCCATGGGTTCCAACCTGTCCTCTTCTGGCCTCTGAAAGCAAAAGACAGACTAGGTGGTACACACATGTACATATAGCCAAATATTAAATAAATAAATACTTTGAAAATGAAAAGGAAGGAATACCCCAGTGTAGAAGTTTGGTGGGACCAATAAAGCCTTACAGTTTCATCTCACAGAATCAATCTGATTTATGAATGGGGATGAAGACCAGCCAGGCACCTCTGTGTTCTCACCTTGAGGACAGAAAGGTAAGCTGCATGGTCTGAGACTGAGGTGTCTGGACTCATTAGGAGATGTAAAACCCTATTTCCAAAAAGATGAAGTAGTTTGTAAACGTGCAAGCCACTGCTGTACACCTCAGGATAGCCCTGAAGTTGCTAGCAGGTCACATCCTGTTCTGGTGCAATTACAAGGGAGGGTATAGTGAACATTACAGCAATGAAATTCTGTGGTAAAGATGGAGTGAGGGCAGGCAGAGGAAAGAGGGGAAGCTGGAAAAATTGAAGACACCATCTTTGGAAATTCCCAGCGTCTACTAGAACTGACCTTGCTGACAGGACACCTACTCTGTGATCAACATAGGCATATGAACCTACTGTAACAGTTAATCAGGTAGATGCCTGAGAAAAAAAGAAATAAAACAACTGCTAGTCAAATAGTGAGAAATACATTATCTCCTAAGAATTCTGGTCTATTCCTGATTTCCCCTGGTCCAGGCCTAGTTCTTTGTTCCAGCTACTTGTTATAGTGGCCAAAACTGACCACAGAGTAGGGTTGCTATATTCAACAAATACAAGTATAATAATGTGAAAATAAATTTAAACTTCAGTTGCACAGAAATCACCTTCAAGGTATGTAGTAGTTTGCACGAAAATGACTTCCAAAAGAAGTGTCACTATAAGGAGATGTGGCTTCGTCGAAGTAGGTGTGGCCTTCTTGGAGGAAGTGTGTCATGGTTGGGGTGAGCTTTGAGGTCTCTTTCGCTTAAGCTATGCCAAGTGTGACAGATCACTTCCTGTATATCAAGATGTAAAACTCTCAGCTCCTTCTCCAGCACCATGTATGACTGCATGCTACCGTGTCCCACAACGATGCAAATGAACTGAACCTCCGAACTACTGGAGTTCTGAATTGTAAGTATCCCAATTGCATGATTTTCCTTTATAAGAGTTGCCATGGTCTCTTCGCCACAACAGAAATCCTAACTAAGACAAGGTACAAATGCAATAGTTGGAGTATACTTGCAGCAAATGGTTATGTGTTTAATGTGAAATTTCGGTTGACTCAGATTCAGATTCACCATAGTTTATCTGGTAATACAGCTACCTCACACGTATCTCAGAGTGCCCACTGAGATTTCAGGAAGGCAGCAGGCACAGTGACCCATCATCCCCCATACACTTCTACAGGAGCTGGACCTTGCCCATTTGTTTCCCCAGGCGGGGTTGCATAACAGCTTTTAATAACCTTTTTCAAAACTCTGCTTCTGCATGTTCCTGCCATGGTCATATACATTTGAGTGCCTCAACACGTTTTTAAATGCAGAATTAGTTGACAGTTGTGGTTTGTTTGTTCCTATTAATTTTTCCACAATTTCATCCGGACATTTACAGTGATTATGTTCATATCTATTATCCTCTCTTATCTTCATTCTACTCCCACTTTTATTGTTTACTCCCTAACAGTCATGAAGTTCCTGCTTTCCTGATTAAATGCTAATACTTGAGTCTTATGGATATCACAGGAAGGAGGCATTGTGGTTTCTATTACATGGGAAAGAACTCTATGGTACTATAAGGCAAAGACATTTGCCTAAAGTCACACATCTGTTGGAACTCGGGAATTCTAATTTAATAGCTGACTTAATTGTCACAATTTTTGCCCAGCAAGTACCTCTTTCCTTGTTCTCACTCTCTCTTTACAGATACATATGTATCTGTACACACACACACACACACACACACACACACACACACATGTTCATGTATTGCAGGAGTTATAGACACATGTATATTTATATATATACACACTTAGTATATTCCTTACATTTCATAAGGAAAACACATCCTATATAAACTATGTAGCTGATTAGGTATATTGATCTAAATGTTTACTCTAAAAGTAAAACTTAGCATCACCATTTCACTGAAACCCATTTTTGAATAGTTTTTACTAGTAGATATAAAAATAACTATCATCTGAAGTTGAGAATAAAAGCACACTTGCATCTCAATCATGTTCAGCTGGCATTTTAATATTTACCAGTGATAACGGTTGAAAAACCAGTTCCTATAAAATACCAGAGCTCAACTGTCACATGAACACACACACACACACACACACACACACACACACACACACACACAAAATAGGTAGAAGTGCATCTCTGGATAATACTGGCTCCATTGTGGAAAATAAAAGGAGAAGACAGCTCACTGATGTCCAAGTGAGGGTGAACTTAAAGAGAGAAGGTTAATGAAAACTCAGCATGGGAGGAGCCCAGAGGGAGTGTAACAATGTCATTGAAGCCCAATGTTTAGGAAAAAATGAGTAGACAGCAGACTAATCACTGTAATAGAATATGCTTAATTAAAAAGAAGTCTGCTTTCTATTGATTATACACACTGTAAGCCAGATTGTTAGAGACAATGAGCACAAAGGCTGAAGGGGAGTTTGAGGAGGAGAAATGGGTTTGCTTATTATAAGCATTTAAAGTTAGCATCCTATTTATGTAAGGCCATAGTTAGCCAAGTTTAAACTTATTTCTCTATTACACATAG